ATTACAAGAGGTGCTCCAAGTGGTTACATCAGCATAATCTTAATACAGTTTTTTTCTTGTTTTAAAATATGTATACATTTTTTTGGTACCCTCTGTATATGTTTCCCCTTATAAGTCTCAATATCATAGGACCTTTGCCCACACTGCAATACAGCATACGACTGCTGTGCCGTTGTGACACCTTTCACCTCTGCACTATCGGTTATACCGCTGTGAATACCTACTGTGTACAAAAGGCAAACTTGGAGATGATCATAATAAAAAACAGAGAGGGGGCAAAGCAAGCAGCAAGTGAAACAGCTTGAATCTCGGAAGTGAGGCAGAGGTGGTGGGGCTGTAGATTCTTTGTCTCATTGGTTAAGTGAGGGGGCGTGCAAAGGCAAATAGTGAGAACAACGACCACATTGTCAGGAGTTGATGAGTAAACAGAAACCAAGAAATAGGAGACAACAAAAATGCTCTTTAGAGAACTTTAGAAATGAACGGTTGAGAGCAATAGAATGTTGGTTTTATAGGTTAGTTCAAGGTTTGGGGGATGCAGGAGTGAATTAAATACATGTGTAGCTAGATAGAGATGAAAAGTGCTGGAACGAGGAAGTAATCTGTGGGACGAAGGCCAGCGGTGACTGTGTTTGCTTTAGAAAGAAGTCCGTATGTGTTCCCACCACCATTAAAGGGAGGGGCACAGAGATGAGGGCAGGGAGACATTTCTGCAGTAAAGAATAAGGAGGAATCTGTATCTTCTTAAAATAATTTTAATATTGATTTCCTGAAGCTATGCTTTATGGATACAGTATTTACTATTTAATAACTCTACTAAGAAATGCGAACAACTCATTTTTCAAAGAGACTGAACAATGAAATACAATCAAAACACCAAAAATAGATTTTTCCTCATGTTGCTATATTGTGCCATTGTATGATAGATGGCCCGTCTTGCCTCTAAAATATCCTGCATTGCATCCTTTCCTTCAGCATATACAGGCCTTTCTATCCAAGTAAATAAGGGACATGAAGCCCTACACGCCCCTTTTCGCTTTCCTTCAGAGATCACTGTCTCGCTGCCTCTGTTGGTTCATTCCCCTCTCACCCTTCAACCCACTGCACGCTGACTTCCGTCCCGTCTCTCCAGGAAAGCGCTCTCACATGGCCACATCCCAGGATATATCTAAGGACTAACCCTTTGGTGACTCACCCTGTCCTTGACCTCATTCTCTTTCTGTGGTTCTTCTCCCATCTCTCAGATGGATGCCTCCTNGTTGTGAACTCCTTTAGCTTTTTCTTGTCTGGGAAGCTCTTTATCTGTCCTTCAATTTTCAACAAGAGCTTTCCTGGGTAGAGCACTCTTGGTTGTAGGTCCTTAATTTTCATCACTTTGAATATTGCCTGCCAGTCCCTTCTGGCCTGCAAAGTTTCTGTTGAGAAATCAGCTCACAGTCTTATGGCAGCTCCCTTGTAGGTAACTAACTGCCTTTCTGTTGCTGCTTTTGAGAATCTCTCCTTGTCTTTAATCTTTGGCATTTTAATTGTAGTGTGTCTTGGTGGGGGCCGCTTTGGTTTCATCTTGTTTGAGACTCTGTGATTCCTGGGCTTGGGTGTCTATTTACTTCACCAGGTTAGGGAAGTTTTCTGTCATTATTTCTAAAAATAAGTTTTTAATTCCTTGCCCTCTCTCTTCTCCTTCTGGAACACCTATGATGAGAATGTTGGTGTGCTTGGTGTCTTGCAGGCCCCTTAAACTAGCCTCACTTTTTTGATTATGTCTTTTTTTTTTTTGCTGTTCTGATTGGGCGTTTTCTGCTACCTTATTTTCCTAATCACTGAGTCAAGCCTCTGCTTTATCTAATCCCTGTAATGTATTATTCATTTCTGACTGGTTCTTTTATGTTTTCTATCTCTATTTTTATGTTCCCTATCTTTTTGTTGCAATTCTCACTGAGATCATTGAGCATCCTTATGACCAGTGTTTTGAACTCTGCATCTGGTAGATTGCTTGTCTCTATTGTGTTCAGTTATTATTTTTTTTTCTGGAACTTTGTTCTGTTCTTTTATTTGGGACATGTTTCTTTGTCTCTCCATTTTGGCTGTCTCCCTGTGTTTGTTTCTATGTTTTAGGTAGGACTGCTATGTCTCCAGTCTTAGTGAAGGGGCCTTATGTAGTAGGTGTCCTGTGGAGCCCAGTGGCGTAGTCTCCCTGGTTACCTGAGAGGTGTGCTGCATGTGTGTCCCTTATGTGGGTTGTGTGCACCCTCCTGCTGTAGTTGAGCCTTGGTTGCTGTTTGCATGTCATTGAGAGGGGTTCACTCTCAGCCTGATTTGTTGTGAGGACCGGCAGTGACTATAGTGCAGGAGCTGTTGTGCAGGGGCTGACCCTTGGAGTAGAGTTCACTTTAGCAGGGTACTGGTGCCTGCCCAGTGTGCCCTTTGGGTGTGTCATCTGTGCAGGCAGCTGGGTGGTTCTCCGGATGCATCTGAAGACGGCCACCAAGCATGTCTGCCCTGGTGCCTCCTGGAAGGGGCCCTGCTACAGGCCAAGTTTCGCTGCAGCCTGTGCCCTCCCTGGGGTCACCTGGCATGAGCCACAAACCAATCCACAGATGGCAACCACTCATGCTGGGCTTGGAGATGCTTGGGAGAGGCCACGCTGTGAACCGAGGCCAGCTACTGCTACTGCCAGGCTTGGAGTTGCTTGGCAAGAGGTACAGGGCATGCCAAGGCCAGGTGCTCCTTGTTTGCAGTGTGTGAACCTATGAGAGATTTTAGGAAAGTCTGTAGCATGAGCTAAGACAGGCTGTTTGTATGGAAAAGCCACTGCAAGCCACTTGGGTGGGCCTGCAATTTGGGTGGGGCAGAGTCTCAGGGAATCACTGGGGGAGGACAATCTGTATTAGCCAGGCTGATGGAGCTTAATTATGGCAGCTGCCTGTGTGTGTACCCGGGAGCGGGTAGCACTCAACAAAGAAACAATGGCCTCTGCCAGCATTTCTTTCTGGGAGAAAGCTGCCCCTCCAGCCCTCACCCTGAGCCAGACAATTCAGTTTCTCCTCATATGTCCCTTGCCCCTTTCAAGCTTCTGCCTTTGTGCTGGAGCTCAGAGAAGTGAATCCATCAGCAAGTAAGTCTGTGCAAGCCTGTGCCTGGTCTATTTAAGAAGAGCACCTGATAGTGCAGCTGCCCTCCATCTCACTCAGCCACAATCTCCACTCGTGTTTAGAGCCAGAAGTTATGGGGACCTTTTTTTTTACCAGCACCAGAACCCTGGGCTGGTTAGCCTGGTTTTGGTTGGAACCCCTGGCTCATCTGGGTGGACCTCCATAGCTGAGATATCCCTGCCAATTTTTAACCGCCACACTTGAATATGGAATCAGCTTGTTTTGCATCTTCACCCCTCCAACTAGGCTTAGGTTGGCTTTGTCTGTATGTCCTTAGTTGTAGGACCTCTGTTCAGTTAGACTTCAGGTGATTCTCAATGATGCTTATTCTGTAGTTTAGTTGTAATCTTGATGTGATCGTGAGAGAAGGCAAGCACAGTGTTTACACTATCATCTTGACCAGAAGTCCCAGAAAATTTGCATTTTTGTCAGGCATCCAGATTGTCTGGATAAAGTTGAACCAAGGAGCCCCCTGGATGACTGAATAGAAAGTCAGGAATTGAGAGTTAGAACAAGGACTGGAACTGTCAGGATGGATTTATAGAAAGCAGCAGATTTGAGATGAGTCTACAAAGTCTAACTTTAAGGGTGGGTGAGATTTAAAGACAGAAGGGAAGCATATTCTTGGAAGAGGGAATGTTCTGAAGAAAAAAAGCACAAATTTAGGAGTAAATGTGGCATAAGAAAAGGACAACTGGAAAACAAGCCTGAGAAAAGCCCCAGAGAAGCTGGTTTCCACTCCCCGCATGTTGATTATCCACATACCTTAAGCTTCTTGGACACTAACTTCTTTATGAAGGTAACCAGAATATAAAAGAAGGAATCTTTGTTTCTCTTTATGCCTGAAACTGAGTTTTACATAAATTATGTCTAATGATAAGGTTCAATGGACATACAAAATACAAGATCTAGAGCAACAATTCCTAAGCCAACCAAACCCTTTGCCTGTACACAAACTCTAAAAGTGATGATTTAGTGTTTTGCATCAAATTAATAGTCATTATGGTAGACATATGACATGCCGTCTTTCCCCCCAAATAAGACCTAGCTGGAGAAGAAGCCCTAACATGATTCCTCCAGGATATGGAGGGCACACACCCCTCACATGAGGTTTTATGACCTGTTTCAGAGAGAAGGCTGCCTTTTCCACAAACTCCTTCAGCTTAAAATATTCATTATGCCAAGGTGCCGTATTTTGGCACCTAAAATCATGCGAGGGCTTATTTTCCAGCTAGGTCTTATTTTCAGGGAAACAGAGTAGTACAAAAAAAAAACACAAAAACATTGCCTGAGGAGCCAGAAAGAACTGGATTTGAATCACTGTTATAATACTTATACGTGGGGCATTTTAGTTGGCCTCTTTGAATTTCAGTTTCCCAACCTGTAAAATAGAAATAATAGTAATAGTACATACAGACATACCTTGTAGTGGGTTTTGAAGATTAATTGAGTTAGCAAATGTAAACTCCCTGGCACATAGTAGATATGTGTGAATGAATAAACAATATTTGTAATTTTTTTATAGTTGTAAAGAACATGTTTTAACTGGACTAATCCATGATTATACAATGATGTGATGCATTTTAGGTCAGATAGATAAAACAGCACAATTGTGATCTATTAAGAGATACTTATGTTTTTTTTCGTACAAAAAAATGGTGAAATTTAATTGTGGAACTGATTAGCAATGTGCTGTAATTTGAAGGACACCCTAAGATATGTTTACATGGGACCTGACGTGTCCTGTGAGAGTTTCATTCCCTGGTGACTCTTGCTGAGCTATTTCGCTCCAATCAGTCATTCATGTTCAGCGAGAATGACTTTTCAGTTCTTTTCTCTCTCTGACAGTGGGGAGAATACTGCTGAGGAACAGGAGATCTGTTGGACATCAAGAAAAATTAGAACCATCTTGTCATAAGGGGAACCCACAGAACATCAAGCTGGCTAGAGCCTCAATGGGAGGTCCTGCAAGCCTTTGTCTGGTGAGCTATGAGTACAGAAGAAGGGAAAAAAGCAGAGAAAGGTGGCACTGATAAATGTCAAGTGCTCTTCCCCTAGTCTCTGTCTGGTTTGAGTCCTATTGTTCCCTGCACGGTAAATTCCTCATTTTCATTAAATGTCACACAAATGCCTTTTTATTTTTGATGTCATGTCACAAAGTAAAATCTTCTCCAAAGAGAAAGCGAGGCTTAAATGTTCTCAGCAGGTGGCTTGGGAAAATCTGAGAACAGAAACGGCCTCTTCAAAAAATAGTAAAAAAAGGGAAAAAAAAGGCAATAAACTGTTATATAGGGAAAAAAAATAAGTATTGAAACGGTTTTAAGTAATCCAGTTCCTTTAATGTGTTATTAAACACTATTTATTATTACTGCCTATTATTGCTCACTATTTGCTGCTGTTATTATGTATAATTACCCTCTCTTTCATTTCAGAAATTCAAGATATAATGTGCCTTTCTGGCTTGGAGACTTTTTCAGTTTACTATTCTGACTTTTCTGAATTACTGTAGGTAATATGTCTTTAGAAATTTATACTTTTGGAGGAAAAAAATGTTGTTTCATTTACATTAAAAATACAGTGAGTGTTAATGAAAGAATGATTTTTCTTGACGGAAAAAGGAAGCAGAGTTACATTAGCATGGAATTAGAAATAAGGTTTAAATGCTAACCATAGATTAGATTAAAAAGTAATTTGTGCTTAAAGGATGGACTATAAATTATAGAAGGAAATAAGATTTGTTTATACCTGGGTGCATAGGAGTTACTTAGTTCAGGTTTATTGGATGATTAATTTATAACCCAATGAGAAATAAACCAGAGTCTCTAGCCCCGAGGAGTTTCAAAATACATCTCCATATCACTGTCAGAGCAGTCCCCATCTACACACACACATACATACACACGCACATGCACGTGAATGGCTCCCGTGTCTCATCTCTGTGCAGATTCCGTGGTAATTACCTAGTCATATCAGCACAATAGTATCAACTCAATCCTGAAAAAGTCTTGCAAGGGTGGACTCCTATAAGGCTTTACGGTAGGTAACTTTTGGTTTCTTATCAGAAGAAGCAACAGCGTCCAGGAAATACATAGAACTTTGCTTTCAAATAGTGAAGAAATTATTGTGCAATGGAGTAGTCAAAGAGGAGGAAAATGCTGCTCAATGTAGGAAGCAGTGTTATTTACCTTTTGAATAAGAGTGGAGGGTTTCTCAATGAGAGAGGTCAGGAGTTCTCCAAGTCAAACTGCACGTAGGCACCGTAGAAGGCAGCTCCCATACGCTGTGAGAGAAGCCCCAGAAAAATCCCTCTGCACCAAAACCTTCCCTCTCAACTGCCATACACTGAAACTCCAACTGTTTCCATTCACACATCAAAAATTTGCTTCCTTAGAAAGAGTACTGAGAGGCATCCAGTCGAGACTTGCTCGAGCCAAGTGTGGTAACTACCCCTGTTAGGGAGCCCAGAAGTCAGGGGACATCCAAAGGGGTGGAGGGAGGGGCTTCATGGTGGGCAAACTCAGCCAACCTTACGATTTTGTCTTCTCCTAGACTTGGCCAGTCTATATGGTCTTTGATTTCTCATCAACATTCTTGGGCTTATCTCTCCATGTTAATTGTGACAGTAAAACAATAAAGATCCAGATTTAATTTTAACTCACGTTGGTCAGCCTAGGGCAGTGAGTGAAGATGATGAGCTAGAGAAATATTAATCCTGGCTGGTTATTTAATATAGGCCCTGTCTAGAGAACACTATCAAAGGCGCTCGCTCAGGACAATGAAACTCTTCAGTTACATTTTGGTTTATCGCCGGTTTCTCCTCACATTTTGTACCCTGTTGGTTTTACTGCCCCTGCCTATCATCCTCCACACTAAGGTAAGTGAACCTGGGGAACAGGCTGGTGGATTTCCTGATTTATTTAATGGTCCGTCCTTATTGCTGTGTTGTAATTGCCTGGCTCAGAGCTGAATGAGTGGTGAGACTTTGGGCTTGAAGTCAGGGTGCTTATAAAATGTGTTTTGTCCATTTTTCTCCTCAGTGGTTAATGTGGGTTGATTCTCAGTATGATTAACTAGAATCATTAGATAGAGTATTCAGTCAGACTTGTTCTCTGTCTGTCAACTACAATAGATGAGAAGAAGCAAAGAAGCACAGCCCTTGAGATCTTGTAGTTCAAGTTATTGATCTCCAGGGAGACTCTGCTTTGGCACAGCCCCTTCCCCTGAGACGAGGCCACAGTGTAATATCAAGGAAATAGCTGGAGGGACAAGAAGTCCCAGGATCTAGCCCAAACTAATTCATTTGTCACCTTCGTGGCTTGGTGTGGGTCGTGGGACCTCCTGGAAATTTAGTTTCCTCATGGGATAAGAAGACATTGGAAGCATGAAGTCATTTTCCTTGGATAACCAGAAAATCTGATAAATTACTGTACCATGTTTTGACTGCTTCATATTTTATTTTGTTTAGGTATACGTGTAAGCATTCTTCCGTTGGCTTTTAAATGGAGTCAGTCTATGAAGTCCAAAATGATAAACTCAATACATTTTTAATCGCTTAGTAAAATGATTTGATTTGAATGAGCACATATTTAATGAGCACCTTCTCTGTGCCGGACGTGACGGGTGTCACAAGCTGGTAAGAGGACCGACACTGGAGCCAGGCTGTCTGCTTTAATCCCAGATTTAATTTACAAACGCTGTGGCCTGGGCAAACTCCTTAACCTCTCAGTGTTTCTGTTTTTTCCTAAGTGAGATTGGGATAGTAACAGGCTTATTGTGGGAATTAAATAAGAAAGCACTCATCAGGCACTTACTTGGAGCAGTGGGGGGCATACAGTATGCGGGGCAGGCTGGGTCCCCTCAAATGTGTTGACTGCACAGCTGGTGCAGTTCCCACCAGCCCATGATGCCTTTTCTCTGCTGTTACTCTAACAAGTATTAATCAAGGTTATACCAGTCTAGGTTAACATACAACCACCCTACTGATAACACTGGGGGTCCCCTAGCCTCCCTCAGAAGTCAGCCACCAATCTGGGAATCTCTGAAGGGAATTCCTGTGAGCTAATGCAAAGTCCTCTTTGACTTGGCCAAGCTTACTACGGGCAAAGCTGAAGAAGGAACTGGCCCCTGCTGGTTGTCTGTTGCCCGGGGCATCTGCCCAGCTGCAGCCTCTCCTATGGGCCTCTCCTTGCTTTGAGCCCCCCTAGTAAGTACTCCTTGGAGGGAGAAAAGAACTTCTCACCCTGCTTTGTCAAACATTGTTCTGAGTCCCATATTCTTGTAGAATTTTTGGTGAAAACATCAGGCACAGTCAGTTGTTTTGGGTTTGGTTGGCTTTGCAAATTCTGTTTGAGGCTAATCCTCCCGTCTCTTCTCTGCCCCTAGAGGACAAGTTTGAGTCTCAGACAAGAGCTGTAAACTGAATGCGCACCCCAACCCCCTGTGAAGACTTGTCCTCCATCTAGCATGGAGGACAGCCTTCTCTTTCCAACTCACCCTGGTCCTACGGTCCCAAGACCTAGCTGGATCCTACCATGAGCACACCCTGATTCATACCTGGACCCCTGCTATACTGTAATATTTCTTGGTTAGTCTCAGCATAGGTCCTTACTTATACCAGAGAAAATGAGAAACTAAACTGGTTAAGACAAACTTAGGCCATGACTGCATATTATTTGTGCTGCTTCTTCCTCATATAAATCCATGACACTTTGATTATCTTTCACAAGTTTCAGAGAAAATGAATACAAACTCTTTGAAAGAGAAAACAAGTAAATAAATAAGCAATGATTTCAGTGCATAATTCATTAACTAGAAAGTACATTCTTATTAAGAAAGGGAGTCATTGATTTTTTTTCAAGGTGTTATGACAAGAGTACATTAGGTCTGTGGGGACACCAGGAGCCTAGCATTTGATGAACTATGTTCCTCTTTCCTCTCCCTCTAATCAACTCATTTGTTAAAACTCAAATAATGTTAACAGAAGGGTTTTTTCCTAGTACAATAACATGATTTCATTTTTTTGGCTACCCTAAGTGCATATTTAATCTTTCAATCAACTGCTAATTAAACTCAAAGAATATTATTTTAACTGTTGCTCACAATGAGCAGATTTTTTCCTTTTTTTTCCAGAGAATATGGTCCTTTGGAGGGTATAAAATTTAAGTAGAGGCTCACTTTGATATGGATGCAAATCAATTTATTATAACGTTCAGGATACCAAACTGGAGAACATTTTGCTTCTACACACACAGTAATAGAACAACTAAAGAGTCAAGCAAAACAAAAAGTCAATTTTCTTTTATAAAAAACCATAAATCGACATGATCTAGAACCAACAAACAATGAATTATTGACTGATTTTTTTTCCCTCTTTTTCCTAGTTGTTATTGAGTTGTTTGTACAGACTGGACTTAACCCTTACTTTAATCCCATCTCAAGTCAAAATGTGGCATCAATGACGAGAGCCCCTAAGTGGTTTTTCAATGTAATGTTGAAAGGGAAGGAACCCACTTAGCAGACTGTGTTTCTATTGCAGGCACTCTGCCAACTGCTTTACCTAAATTGTCCTATTTAACCTTCATGACAAGCCAGCAAGACAATCACATATGTTCTCTCATTCTTACTTTACATTTGAGGAAATTAATGCTCAAAGATGGGTGACCCAACCAAAGCCACGTGGATGTGTGGAAACTGGGCTTGAACTTGGGTTCTGTCAGAACTCGTAATTTATGTTTTAACAGTTTTGTTTTGTTTTGTTTTCTCTATTTGGTACTTTTAAATGCCCTCTATTTTGAAGAGTTTCACAAAGTGTGGTTTGGTGGTCATTTATGAACTCGGGCATTTCTCTTCATGATGATGCTTTACACAGGTCAAGTCACAGAAAAGGTGTAGCTTGGCCATTACCTCAGTTGAACTCATGCTACACAATGTCTTTAAGGTAAAAACTGGCAGTGATTTTAATTACTGGTGATGGGCCTTGATA